TTTGACGTGACGGATTAAACCATGGTTTAAACCGTCAAAAACTGTCACATGTCAAAAACCTGCCAACCCTGTTTCTATCTTATATTCCTCTCCTTAATAATTTTTGTTTCTTAGAGAAATGTCTCCATTTCAAATTGGATTTTAAAGAGTGTCGTATATTTAAAATTCGATGTTTAATGTACGACAATCGAATCTTAAATATACGACACATCTTAAATATACAACACTTATCGCATCTTAAATATATGACACTTATTGAATCTTAAATATTCAAAAATCGAATTTTAAATAAACGACACTCTTTAAAATCCGATTTCTCGGGAATTATTTACCAGATTTCGCTCAAATTTTGTATTTTGCCATGAAAATTACGACTGAAAAAAAAAAGCTTAAAATTCAAACTTTTTCCCACTATTATTTAATAAAAAATAATAAGTAGCAAGAACTAACAAATAATAAATATTTACTAAAATGTATGTTTCTGCATGGAATTATCTTTGAATAAAAGAATTTTATACTTGTGTGCAAAAAATGTTTCGAATAAGCTTAAAAATTTTTCGAATAAGCTTCAAAAGTTTTCGAGATACGATGAAATTAATGTTATGGGGTCTAAACTTTGGATTGCTCTCCTGACTAACCTACGGGAACCATATTTCTCAGATTGTGGCTTCCCCTTATATTTTGGGTGTCAAAAATCTGAATCAGTTGAGGAAATGTATGTTTATTTTAAAAAAGTACGTTTTTGTGTCTGATTTTGCAACTTGAAATATTGTCTGCACTAATTAATTAGCATATTTGAAGTCACCCTCTCAAACTATTAAGAGTAAATCCTAGAACCTGAAGATCTGATCATTAGATCAAAAGATAGAGTTAGATTATTTTTTTATCACACTGTACATCTTTTTATCAATTCAGAGCTTCATAGTTCTATTATTTTGCTCTATAGAATTTGAAATAAAAGTGCAATATATAAGTAGTTTGTACCGCATTTTTATTAAAAAAATAAAAACTTTAGATTTTTACTTATTTTTATAATTCTAAATAAAATTAATTTTACTCTGTGTATATTTATTATTGTCCTTAATGGAGAAGGGCACCAAAATCATGTTTGCTTACACTTGAAAATCAGCTTGGGCCGGTACAAATTTGAAAGAAATATTATTTCTTAAAACTTTAGGTAATATTTCAATTACATTTAAGATTTTTAAGTACACTTTAACTTTTTTTCTGTGGAGCAACTAAGTGATAGGGCATCCATTTTTTAGTTTATTCGATCCACAATTTAGGAAAATAATTAAATGAATATGAAAGCATAAAACTTTTGACCATTCTCAGAAAAATATTCTAGTAATTTCAAAACATTAATTATTAAATTCGTAGCAAGGGTAATCTTTTTGAAGAAGGTATTGTATCTCAGATGTCCCCCCATGGAAGGTTGGCAGACATTTTATTATTTGAAATTCTAATTTTTATGAAGCAACAAAAGAAAAAACTGTAAAGCAGTTGCTTATTTCTACCTCTATGAGAGTCTTCAAATTGTTAAATATTTTTGTTTTAGAAGATATTCTTTTTAGTAGTTCAATTTTACCGATTTCATTCATTTTTTTTCTGAATATGTGTGTCTTGTGATAAATTGTTAACTAATATTTGTGTATGAATTCTCATACATTGAACAATTATTAATTTATTAGATAGTAATTTACAATGTCATATTTAACAGTCTTATTGTTCAAATTAGAAAGATTATTTCTTAAGTTTTTAGGCAGTGTTCGCCCTAAGAGTTTTCTGAAGGTCGTCCCACCCTGCTTGCCCTTTGATCCCAATAAGTGCGTCCTCTTTGCCTTTCTTGTAAAAATAAGCCTCCATTCCTTAAAAACAGTGCCCTTTTAGTCATATTCCATTTTGAAAAAAAAAAAATTCTCAGTTTAAATAATAAATAATAATTTCACGCTGGCAAAATTATCTGTGTTTATAGGTTTAATTTTGATTACTATTACAAGTATTTACTTTGTTGGAATTATTCTCAGCTGGTTAAATTTTTATAAGTTTCTCTTTTTCTTAGGGAGACTGTTTATTAATGAAATTTTTTTTAAGTGATTTAAAATTATTTTTTAAATAATACTTTCAAGGTTTTAAATGCCTTTTTATGTGTTCATTTTTTCATAATTTTCAGTTAAAATTATAGAAAAAAGCTTTAAATTTGTTTATCAATCAATAATCTCTTTTTAGTTTACTTTTTTTTAAAAAATAATTTCTGCTCAGTCGTTTATCGTTTAGCATGCCTTTAATTATTTTTTATAAACTACAAATTTTTCCCTTGTTTTGATAATGTGTGAGAATTACTTTTTGAAAGATATACATAAAATAGTATTAGAGGGTAATTTAAGAATTGTTGAGAATTAAATCAGCGTTCCCACGATCCTTAAAAGTCCTTAAAAACTGCTTAATTTTTAATATGGAAAATAAGGGCCCTTAAAAGTACTTAATTTTGGTTCAAGGTTTTTAAAAGTCATTAATTTTTTAGCATCACTATGGTTGATAGGAACAATTTTTCAGTTCCATTTTTTAAAACAAAATGGTGTTCTTTTATCACTTAGAATTAGACCATGCATCTATTAGACCATGCTAAAGCATTTTAGAGAGACAAAAATTCATGTGTGTAAAGGAGGCAAGGGGAAAAAAACATGAACTTTCATTAATATATTCTGCCCTTTGCCTAGAGCGATACTTTATCAGGAGAGTGAAACATTTCAAAAGAAAATAATAGTGTGGACAAGGGGAATACTGCACATGGAAGAAATAGTGCTCTTTTTTTTGAGGGGGGGGGGCAGTTTTAAGGTACCTAAGTGGAATACCCACACTAGCCTTCAAAATTGACTGAATTCAAGAAATTAAGTTCTTCTGGTAATGCATCTGCTTATAGGGATTAAGTGAAACACTAAGAAAAGAAGTACAGTACAGAACCCGTTATCCGGAAATCAGTAAACCGGAAAACCAAAAAACCGGAATGAAATTCGATAAATTTTCCCGACATTTTTTTTTTTAAATGTTTTTTTCCTCATAAGATTTTAGGATTTTTCTTTCTTTTTTGAAAGATGTTTACCTTACCATCATTTTGGAAATAATCATTAGTGTATTACTTCGTTTTTTCAAGATTATTTCCAAATGTTTTTTTTTTTTTTTTAGTTGGGCTTAACAATAAAAAAAAACGGCTTTTTGTAGCGATTCAGAAAACCGGAAAAATCAGTTATCCGGAATAGTGATGGTCCCGATCGTTCCGGATAATCGGTTCCCTACTGTATTAGTAAAAAAAAAAAATTTTTTTTGGAACTAGAATACATAACGAAAACTACTTACTAAAATGTCTTATTAAATAAATTGGTATAATATTTCATTCAGTGTAATCAGTAACTGTAAATTTATAGAAAGGATAACATTTTTTGAAATTCATGATTGTACTAAAAATTAAACAGATTTGTTAGAAACAGGGTATTTGTACTAAAAATTAAACAGATTTGTAAGAAATAGGGTTTAAAAAATCTCAGCTCACCTAGGTTTTTCATCAAGAACCTGGGGTTTATTGGTAAAAACCAAGTGTTTTTTCAAAAATACTAACTTTTTTTTCCTGGGTACCAAATAAGCTAATTTTGCTTATCTGGGTACTAAATACTAAATTTGCTTCTAACAAGAAAGTTAAATATTTGGTAACTATTTATAATTTGTTTTGCTGCAATGTATATATTTTTTTAAAATTTTAAGATTGTTACACTATTATTTTTATTTCTTAAGGATAAGCAGATTTGCCTGGTAATTCTTTGGCGAGCGTGTTAATTAATGCATTTATATCAGTGCTTACATTACAATAAAATTTATTGATTTTTTTAGGAAGGTCAATAATTCGCACTGTCACTGGTGGCATATGTATATTCAATGATAAATAATCACACTATTTTTTTTAAAATCCTTTATTTTTCAAAAAAGTCCTTAATTTCTTCAAAAAAGAAAGTCCTTAAAAGTGCTTAATTTTTGCTCTGTTGAAAGAGTGGGAACCCTGTAAATTCAGTTATTACACAATTTGATAAATTTTTCTGGTGTTAAGCGAGTGCCCTTTTCTGTGATTTAGCTCCCTGCCCTTTTTTATTTCTAAGGAGAACTTTGAATAAAGGCTATAAGATTATTAACTTTTTTCCATAATAATAGCTGCCAACTTGATACGCATTTTAGGGCTTTTAGCTACGCATTTCTGTATGATTTTTTCTAGTGGTACCAAAGTTGTTTTAATATTTGACTATTGGCTCAGTATATTTTATTTTTTTAGTATATTAAGTGACTTTGATGACCACAATTTATTATACTTTAATCATATATAATAATGTGTAACTTTGTTCCAGTTATTTCATGATGAAGGTTTTAAAGTGTTTAAATAATTAAACCGAATTTTGCAAAACTTACTGTCTAATTCGCAACCAATTTTAAATTTTTTTTGCAGAAAAGCAGTTGGCAACTTAATATTACAAGGCTTTTTTTCTTCTTCATTTTGGTTTTATATTAGTTAAAATTACAGCCATGTACATATTTGACATTTATATTTTCAGTGGGTACTATGAGTTATAATTTGGATATTGATTGAAGAATGTTAAGAAAATTAATAAATGAATTAATTAATGATTTTGAATAACTACTATGCACTATTGGTATTTGAGTGAATTAAATGTAAAAAAAGAAAAAGAAAAAAAAAAGCTTTTGCCATTTGAAGGTTCACGTGAAGAGGGTTTTGTCATTGATACATTTTTAAAAATTAGTTGGCCATCTTTTGTGCAAAAATATTTGTACATCATTGGAATATTTGCAATCTTTGCTATAATTTGAAATAGAAAGGTAATAAAAAATGTAGATTTTTACTTAATATTATATTTTTTTAAAGTGTATAAACATTATTCTCAAGTATCTAAATTATAAATATATTTTTTTTAATGTAATAAAAATATTATTTTAATTAGATTTGTTACTGTGATGAGTAATTTTGGATATAATGCAACTACGCTTTGAAGATCGAAAATCCAAAAATCATGGATATATTAGTAATCTTATTTCAGAAAAAGAGCATGATTTATTCCTGTATTACGTGATTAGTATGAAATAATTGGTGAGTACTGTTGATATAAGAATTTAATAACTGTATATTTATGTTATGTGAAAACTTAATTTAAATCATTGCACACATTTTACTGAAACTTTCTTTTTAAAGGCAGTATTTGCATATTTTATTTAAATTGAACAATTATTACCTTCATGTTTAATTAATTTTTATTGTAAAATTGTGTTTAAAATACTCATGTAAACAGTTAATTAGAACAGCAAAATTTTAGGTAGATTTGATATCAAGAACTAATTAAACAGTTAAATCTCCCAATGAAATACAAATGTTTTAGTTACAAAAAAAAAAAAAAAAAAAAAAAAAAAAAAAAAAAAAAAAAAAANAAAAAAAAATATCTATATTAAATCGATAAATTAAAATATTTTTGAAAGAATATTGCATTTAAATGATTTTTCTATTAATCAAGCTATACTTGAGAGGATTTTGTTTGAGTCTACATTTTTTTCCCCTGGTTTTATTTTTATTTTAGGGGGGGGGGGGGNTAGGGGGGGGGTAATATTTTATAATAATCAAATTCAAGAAATAATACCTCAACAAACATTAGATAGATTTTACAAAAAATTGGACTAAAGTCTGTTTAGTATACTTTTCAAATAATTATCAATAATTAATTAATAGGTAATTTCAAATAATCTTATGAAAACCTTGCACTAATATATTTTACAATTACACTAATTACAATTTTATGTCCTCAGTAACATAATATGTTCACATTATAAATTTAAATGTTTGGATATTCAATAAAAAGATTGATTTGTATCACAAATGCTGATTGAAAAAATTTTAATAGAAAAATGTTTATGCAGACAGAAAATTTCTTTTTCTGTACGCACATTTATGTTTTGTACGCACATTTTAATTATTTTAAAATTCTATTTTTTCAATTAAAATATTGGAAAAAAGTAATTTTTCATTCTTTATTGTGTTATTTGCTCCCTTTGTAGTAAAAGAGCATAGTTTTTATTAGTTGAATTTTCAATAAATTAATGTATTTTTATTTATGACTTCTGCTGGTGCTTAAAATATTGAAATTTTATTATACAGTCAAACCTTGTTAACGCGAAATTGGTGGTACTGCCATAATTATTTCATGTTAAGCGGATTTCATCTTATCCGATACACCATGAAAATATTTTATTTTGTACTTACTACATAAATATTACATACTTCATTAATGTTTGTAAACAATACTGTTATGCACCAAACAAATAAAATTAAATTTGAAAATTTTAATTAAATTTGTAACTATTTTATTGAAAATAACAAATGAAAAATATAATGTAGATACCAACACTTTATACATCCTATTTCTAGCTGAAATAGGCCGTAGTTGATTTTTGCTTCGTCTTTTGATTTTCACATCAATTTTAAAACTGCTGAATCTCTTCTAAACAATTTATAGTAAAAGTTGTGTTTTCGTGTTGAATAAGAAAATTCTCTAAATTTCTTATTCATGCAGCAGCATCAGTCATCTAAACAGTTGGTTGAAATACTTCTTGATTTTGTTCTTTTTCATCTGATGATTCGTTATTTTTTTTTTCATCCAAAATGTCTGCAATTATGAATTTCATCAAAAATGTCTGCTACTTCAGAAATAGCATCAGAAGTAAGGTTTTCACCGACATTTATGTAATCTTGAAAATCATTTTAATTCAGAAGCCCTTGTTTTTTAGCCTTATGAATCAAATCAAATGCAGATTCCTCTTCCACTGATTCCGTAATTTCTGATTCAACTGTGCTAAATCCCCCATGTCTGAAACAATTAGAGATTGTGTTTGCCGAAGCATTTTTCCATGCTTCTCTAAGCAAAATCATAGCTTCCAAGAGGTCGATTGAAAACTCAATCTTGTTGTCATAACAGCTTATAATTTTATGTATGATTTATTTTCGATAATTCATCTTTAAAGTCTGTATTATTCTCTGGTCACAAGGTTGTAATTTTGCTGTCGTATTGGAGTAGTAAAAATATGCACTTTATCGCTTTTAATCCAAAAATTTCGTAGAGCCAAAAATTTCGCAATAAGCAAACTTTTCTTTTTTTCTCCAGGAATATTTCCTAAAAAACATGGATCCATTTTGAAAAAATGTCCTTATTTATCCAGGCTCTTTTCTAAATGAATAATTAATGGACAGTGTTTTTACATTTATAAGGAATCGGGGTCTTGACAGATTTTCTATCAAAGACTAGCTAGATTTTGTAGCTTTTTTGACTCATCTATGTTGCAGTCCACGAGAACGGTTTGCTGAATTTTCCACTTGAACACTTTTCATTTCTAAACAAAAGTATTCGATTTGGAAGAGCTTTAAAAAAAAAACACCATTCTCATCAGGTTTTAAAATATCTTTGGGAGTGGTGTAATCTTTTAAAATAGAAGGTCAATTTTGTGTGAAAAATGGTGCTATCTTTTCAGGATCTACAGAAGATTCATCACCGCAAATTTTTTTCTAATGATTCCATATCTTTCTTTAAATCTTTGTAGCTAGCCATTAGAGCATGTAAAATTAGTGATTCCCGTAACATCTGGAACATCAGCAAAAATTTTCTCTAACTTCATATACCCAACGAAGTAAAGCCATTTCAATTTCTTTGTGCTTTCGGTTCTGAGTCATTTTCTCTCTGGCTTGAACTGATTAGAAACATAGGCAATTTCCAGTTTCTTACAATTATTTCAAAATTGTTGAAGGCTTACTTTTGGCAATTCCATATTTCTTTGCAATTTTAATCTTTTTCAACACACCATCAGAAATTTTGTTTAAAATTTTTTGCTTTGTTTCTAGCAGAAAGGAACATTGCTGCCTGTGACTCATGTTTCCCCAACAAGCATTATTGATCTAACCTAATGATGTGCAAGCTCAAAAACTTACTCTAAAAAACAAGATCAAAGAATAGCTAGACTAGATACAACCAGTTTAGTCCCCCTCACATTTTACACCATTTTTCACTGGAGAAAAAACCAGTTTTCACTCTCTTCCTTGCTCAATAGGCATTCATTCCTCCTTCTCCTACTTTCAACAAAGGGAGAAAAATAACAAAAGCATTCCTCAAAATGAAAAATTGGCACTTTATTCACATGCTTGTCATCTGTTTTTACATCTACGTGTCCAGTTTCCTTTCATGTTAAGCGATAATCAGCTTAAAAATTTCATGTTAAAGATGTAAAGTACAATACTAATTGATTGTTGACTAACTGGACTAAATCTGTGCTTCATGTAGAGCAATATTTCATGTTAAGTGATTTCGCGTTGACGAGGTTTGACTGTATATGAAAGAGAGGAAGCTGATTTAAACGATAATTTTCCCCCACATTAAAATTGACATTCACTAAGCTATGGAACTCAGGTTAACTAGCAAACTATACAAATGATTATTACTTCTAATTATTAATTTATTCTAATTTAATTTTTTCTAAGAAATTATTAATGCATTTTATTTACGTTAAATTTTGACTGAGACACCCGTTTTTTCCCCCCATCTACATAATCTTATTTTATGTACTATTTTCACTATTACCAGTCTTAAGCAAAAGGCTAAACACTGTTATACTTAAAGTAGTTTGAATTGTTAATATGAATTATGTGAGGACATTAAATTTCAGTTCTAAAGACACTATCCAGGTTGAAATTTGAAATAAAAGTAAACATTTTTTAAAATATCAACAAATGTAGTATGAAGAATTTTTTGGTGACCAAAATCATAAATGAATGTAGAAAAATTGAGGCATATTTATTACAAAAATGATATTAATAATACATATATGACATGACACTGCACACACATTGTACTTGAAGTGTATTTATTCTGAATAAGGTTGCTATAAAGTTTTAATGATTCAAATATCATTATCATATCATTAAATGTAGTTAAAATAAAGAAATATATAAGAAATGTTCCCATACATTTAATATGTCATGTTTGCATACTTCCCTTTCAGCAATAAAATACCATTTGTCAGGGTCAAAAGCATGTTATGGTTGGATCCCTTTCTAGAAATCCCAAATAAATTATGCATATGATTTTTGAATCCTATGGTTTCAAAGGTTTTCCAAAGTTGTGTCTTGATATTTTCCCAAGCTGTTGCAGGTAAATACTAACTTTGGGAAAAATTTGGATAGTATTTTGATTCGAGGCACATCACATTATAAGACAAAACCTACTTGCTATTCTAAATATTCTATCACCAATGGCGAGTGGAAATTTTATGTCCTATGCTATATTCATGATTTATTCATAAGATAGCTTTTGTTGAACACATATCTGGACCGCATGAAAAATATAAGCTTGTTAATTATCGTTTTCTATTCTAAATTAAATTTACATAATTTATTTTTGATTTAAAATTTGTTTAGTTTAAAATGTCTATTGTTGTTGTACAAGGCAGTTAAGTTTTCTGAGATTGTTAATGTATTTGGAATTGTTGTTAATTGGAATATAATGTGAATTATATGAATTATATATCCTAAATGAAAATATTTATTTAAATATACTAAAATACAAGTTATTTCATGTAGTATTTGTTTGAATAAAATATTTTGTAGAAAATTTTTTATAAAATTTATTATATGAAATAATATTTAAAGTATTAGTTGTGCACATCTAGCTAAAAATACAAAGCCATTACAGACCAGAAAATTTTGTTCAGACTGCTTTGCTATAAATTTTTAATTTGAAAATAAAAATAATAAAATTTGAAAAAAATCCAATTGTTCATCGTTTTCACTTAGTGGAACAAACAAAAGAACTAATTGGACTAACACTGTGGGAACTAATAAGAAAACTTGGTATTTTTGTGTTTTGTACTTTCCATTGCAAAATTGAATCCATTGTGATTATTAACATACTATTTTTAAAAATTTTAAATTGTGTATTTTGTGTGCAAGTCAGCTAGTAAATGAAGGTAATAATTTAAAATGAAATTTATATATTAAAAATGGGGGGGGGGACTAATAAGTTCACAAAATATTTGAACTCCAGCTAACTTCTTTGGAAATCAAATTTTATGAAATTTATTTTCAGAAAAAAAGATCCTCTACAATTATACTTTTGAACAAACTTTTAAATTATTGGTTTCAAGAAATTTTGAATTACTATTTAAACAAAATGTGATTTTCATAACATTTTGTATTAAATAGTTATTGGGAGATTTTCTTTGATTTACATATGATGACCCTGAAATTGTATTGAGATAATAATATTTTTTCAACACCATATAATGTACATAGTCAATCATTAAAAATGAAGCAAAATAATCTTAACTTTTTTCTATGTTTGTATTTGTAATAGATTTCACAATTGCTTTATTGTACGTAATCTATTATGTTGTTTAAGGCCATTGATAGCACCTCTTTCGTCGTTGTGGTTTGAATCCCATGTGGCATTTGTCTCACATTAATAATCACTCCCTCCCTTCCTTATGTTCTATAATACCTGCAAACCCTATGAATTATTTCAGAAGAAAAATTCCCCAAGATTGCCCTTACAAATTTCCTACCACATATTAGATTACTTATAAGGCTAGCAGGAGAGTTAGAACATAGAAAGGTAGTGGGCGGTTATTAATGTGGTCAAGGAGGCATGGCAAATCTCGCATTCGTCCAAAAATGGTAAACTGCATTGTTCTCATCTTGAGAAATAAAAATTCTTGATTTAACCCTTCCACTTTCCTGAGCTTATTGCATTGAAATTTTTCTGCTATGCACTATTTTAACTTACCCATTAAATAACATGGGAAACTAGTTTTTCAAAACAGAAAATTTGCAGTTGAATGTTCAGAAAAACCAAAACTAACACTCAATGGGTTAATAAATTGCCTACATAAAAGCTAAACTAATAGAAACATAAAAGTAATTACCAAGAGAATAAATTAATATAAAAGTAATAGGACCCATATTGTACTTATAATACACAACCAAAGATATCTAATAATATGATCTATGTAAAAGTTAGCTCTCCATTTTCATTGTTCTTTAGAAAGAAGTTAAAACAATTGATTAATATCTCAAGTACAGTAAAAGGTAAATAATAATTACACATTTAACCATATGCATCCAGTATGCATAGTTGTTATAATTTAAATTCTGTAACTTTTACAATTACAAAGTTTATCATGCTAAATATTTATAAATAACAAATAAGTATAATTTGATTAGAATTTTACACCTGACTTCTGAAGTTTGAAAGTCACATGAACAAGTATTATTCTTCTTCTGACTTTTCTCTCACATATTTAAAAATTTCTTTTTTGGTTTGAGTATTAATTGCTCCAAAATTTTTTTACATGCATTAATGGCATTTATTCAGACAGGATACCAAAAAAGTTTGCTTACATTTACTACTTGTTTTACTTAAATTTTTTTAAAGAGAAAGATTTTTGTGATTAAAAAAATTAAAAGTTGCATTGACTTAATTTAACTCATGTTCTTTGTTGACGTAGTTAATAAATTTTAATTACTCAATATATTTTTCTTTTGGAAAACCTGAGTCTTATAAGGTTTGTAAAATACTTTAATTGCAAAAGTTTAATTGTTGCTGTTTTTTTTTTAGCCATTTAAGCATGCTTCATATTTATGCACCAAAGATAATGTGGTTGAAGTTAGAAAATGAGTGACTGCTCTAATCTTTCGGAAACACCAGTCAGTGGGGAACAGGAGCCCACTATGGTCACTGTACCTGTAGTGGGCTCCAGTGCTTCAAATAACATGGCTACCTCTTGGAACAATGGTGATACTCTAGATATGCATGAGTCAAATGATATTTGTGGCCTCTCATTATGCAATGATGTTGTTACTACTTCTTCTAGCTCATCACATATATCAAGTGCTATGTGTACTTCTGATATTATGTCTCATGATAATTCTGATTCAACACCATTCCTGCATTCTGCACTGGCACATGATGCTGATTCAACTTCTGAATCCTTGGGTGTTTGTGACGATGAAAGAATGATTGTCGGTAGGTCTTTGCAAACTTCTCTGACTGTTCATGCAATTGTTACACAGGATGGTTTGACTGGTTCTCAGGGATCTGAAAGCAGTGATGACCAGCTTAGTGTTGTCGATAACTTAACAGCACAGAATTTTTTGCAAGAAACAGATTTAATGAATGCTGCTTCATCAGCACTTGGGCATGATAAATCACCATCTCCTGATCATGACCTTGACAAATCAGACATTCATCATAATTTGTTATCTCTTGATCATCAGTCAGTTACTAGTCCACATGATCATATGGAAATGGAAAACCTTTTGCATGAACAAGATTTGGATGGTCCAGTTTCATCTATGTCAGAGTATCATTTAGATCATTCTCAGGCTTCTGAACTTTCTGTTGGAAGTACTTCCCAGCTTGGAAGCTTAAGTAACTTGCAAGAGGTTGTAAGTGCAGATGGTGTGTGTTTGTCACCATCATCAAATAGTAGCAATTCTTCGTTAGATTTGCCTTCGGGTGTGAGTATATCATCAGGAATAGGTTTACCCCCTGTTTCAACTATCATTAGATCATCAGCTAAAGGAAGGTTTGATGTATTTTGTAGGCCTTCTAACATTAATATGATTATGGGCATTCCTCAATATTTAAGCAACAGTAATTCTTTCGATGTTATGACATCCATTAATAATATACAGCGATTGTCTTCAAGTCCTTGTGACAGTTTGAACAATGTTTCTTTAGCTAGTCCAATGGAAGAGTCATCATCGAGATGTACAGATGTTGTGATGGAAAATGTAGATGTTCCTTTATCATCATCATTATTGGTATGTTCATCAACTCCTATTAGCCATGTTGCATCAATTGTTGAAAGTAGATGCATTAAAGCTAATTCTGTGATGTCTTCTCTGGGACCAGATATTATGGATAAAGATTCTTTATCTGACATAACAGACACTCATTTAGAATCTGATAGTAGTCTTAATTTACAACTTACATCTAGAACTATTCCAAATTTTATTGGGGTAGTGCCACTTCGGGAAATTATGCACATATCCCCATCACCCCCTCAGGTTTCTCATCATTTGTCGCCTCTTGCAATTGAGGAAATGCAAAAAGTAGCTGAAATAAGTGAACACTTACGCTCTGGATCAAATGTTGAATCCCCATTTTCTTTGCATTCAAGTGAAGAATCCATTGCAAGAGCTATGCTTTCTCCTCATTTTAGTGTTGGAGAAAGTTTACATTCAGATAATTATGTTGACTGTATAAGCCAAAGGTCACAACCAACTTCTGTTTCAGCTATTGGAACAAATGTTATTGTTTCAACTTCAAACATAGACACCTCTCCGAAATTTACAGTTGCAGATATAAAAGCTATTGAGCATAGATTCAGAACTGAACAGTCTAGAAATCAAAACATGGAAAATGTCAATCATAATTTAAATAATTCTGCACTAAATAATGAAGTTATAATTCCAGATTGCATTGAAACATCACAAAGTTCTGATATTATGTATTCTGATGTTCAAGATGCACTAAGGCAAGATGCAGCTACAAGAAAAATATTGAAAGCTCATAATATTGTGCGATCTACTATAATTGAGAAAAATTTGTTACAGCAGTCTCAAGTCATTAAAAATGAGTCTGTGATAACTAGTGCTGATAATATTGCTTCTAACAAACTTGTTAATATTAAAACTTCTCAGAACAATAGTGAGTTAGTTACTATAAAAACAAATGACAAGGTAGCAATATCTAGCAGTCAAGCTGATACTTTGCAACACGTCAATCCATCTGCTGTAACTGCAAGTGTGATTCAACAACTTTTACGGGCCCAGTCACCTCCAGAGAAGATAACGTCTACTTTACAAAGGGTGCCACGTGGTGTAATTACTTCTGTAATGTCTAGTAAAGGTGATCATCAAGATGTTTTGATTACTTCCTCTTCACCTGTCCATGAGAATTCTTTAGAAAAGGAGGAAAATGAATCTAATATTTCAGTTTCATCAGCAAGCGTCCTTAAAGATTCAAGTCTGATAAATAGTACAAACAGTTCTAGAAATAAATCAGTTGTTTCTTTGGACATTAATGAACATTCGGTTATTAGTCATGGAAGTAAATCACCTTCCTCCTCTGAAGAGAAAGAAATCTCAATTTCTAGTTTAACATCTGCAGTTCTCCCCTCCCTTTTCCCTAATCTTTCTGCTAGTGCATTAGCTTCATTACAATCTAGTTTAAACTCGGCTCTTCCTTTAACTATACAATCTTCCCTGCCAAACTTAAGTATTGGAGAAAATTCATCTGGTGCATCTCATTTGCCTCCTGTTTCACCTACCTTATCTTCACCACCTCTTTCTCCTATTTTATTACCTAGCATTTTATCAACAACTTTAAGAAATACTTCTACTAAAGTTCCAATCCTGGATTCAATTGTAACTTCAAATTGTGTTACCTCTACTAATAATATATATAGTGGTCTATTAAAAACTGTTGGTTTATCTAATATTGTAAAGCAAGAGCCAGGTATTATTACAGGATCTGGACCTCTCCCTCCTTTTACGGTAGTTTCTGGTTTATCTCCTCTGGTGAAGAGAGATTTTAGTGCTTCTTTGGCTTCAAATTTACTTGGTGCTAATCATACGAGTGCACAGATACCTGTGGTGACCATAAAACAAGAGCCCGGAGCATCCCGAGCTTCTGCTAGTGCCTCAGAATTCAACCCTTCCATAATTTTAAATGCCAATGCAGCATTACCTAATATTGCCTCCATTCATCTTCCTTCTGCAGCTGCAGTCCAACTGCCAGTGGTTGTATCAACTTCTATTGCTGTAGCAACCACTGCTTTAACAAACCCAGTGCCTTCGCAAGCCTCGACCATTGCATTTGCAGGAAGTATCTCAACATCTGTTGCAAATTCAACTGCACCTACTAACTGTGAGGAACCAAAATCTTCAGACAAAAAATGGAATTGTTTGATGTGTAAGAATGGAAGTCCATGTGGCCTCCATCCAACCCAATCTCAGGGTTCAACTTCGGGCTCTGGAAGGTTGACCACACAACCCCAACCTGTACTGTCTGGAGATCCTGCAAAACCTTTTCAATGCACTTTGTGTGGCAAACATCTTGCATCTAAAAATGTGTATCAGTTGCATTTACGCAGCCATTCTGGAGAGAAGCCCTTCACCTGTAATCTATGTGGTCATCATTTTTCCCAAAAGACTTCATTGACTAGACATATGAGATCCCACACAGGTGAACGTCCATTTCCTTGTGATGTGTGTGGTAAACGTTTTGCTGATAAAGAGAGGATTAAGATACACATGAGAACTCACACTGGAGAGAAGCCATTTGCTTGTGAAGTGTGTGGCAAAAGATTCTCTCAAAAATCTACTGTAAAAAGACACATGAGTGTTCATACAGGTGAAAAACCATTTAAATGTGAATCATGTGGTAAGGGTTTTGCTAATCGTGGGAACTTAAATGCACATAGTAAAACTCATGCAAACACATGACATTATATAACTAAAATAATTAAAAAAAATGTTATGTATAATTATACATTCTGTATATTTGAAGGGTTGTCTGGTTACATTCTCTTAAAAGTTTATTGTTTGAGAAATGTTTCCAGCACACCACATGTAGTATATTATTGTAAATTTTTATGACATTTTAGCTAATAACCTCAATTAGGAGTTATAGGAAAATGTTAACAACTTGATACTGAATTGTTAGCAAGCGTACATATTTATGCATATGAAGATATACAGTATCATCGTCCTACAATGAGTGATCTTTTTTGTTAAAACACTGTTGTAAGTAGAGACCATCTTTCAATTCCAAATGGTTTTTGCAGTTTACTAAAAGTACAAACGAATAACTTCTGTTATTGCAATATCAAAGCAGTAGTTTCTTAACATTTTAGATCTTTCGAGCAAGAGAGAGATTTATGTAGATTGTTTTTATCACATGCACATATCTAGTACATAGCTGGAGTTAAAGTTTATATATAATATAATGTTATGATTAGCATAATGTTTGCTATTGTTTCAGATTAAACAGTTGTTTCAGGTCTTGAAACATAGTCATGTTGCCATTTGTTAATCAGGTTAAAATTTGAAGCTGAGTGATTAGTTTTCCTATAGTGCAGTGAGAAATAGTGGTATGCTGTAGCCATTCATGTTTGTCTGAGTGTGTGAATGTGGTGATGCTTGCGATTGAAGATTTTAATTCAATATTTATTATTCAAAATAATAAACTATTTTTATTTAATAAAATTTTTTTTAGTCTGTATATATATATATATTATTTAAATCATTAGTTATTAAATTTTATGATTTTAATTTTAAAAATAATCTGGCCAAAACTATTTATGAATGTTTCATTACAAAGGCTGCTGTTTCTAAAGTGAAAGAAAACTCTAATTTCATATTTTCTTTTTTTTAAAAAAAATGTAAAATTTAATTTTATATGTTATGCAACTTTTAAAATTTTTCATCTTTTCGCAATGGCTCCACATCTTGAGGAAAGTCTCGGTCTTCTCCAGCTATTCCTGCTTTCGGCAACTGTTTTCCAATATTTTAATTTCAAGAAGTCAAGATTCCTTTTGACACAATAAATCCACTTATGCAGAAGTTTGCATCTACGTATCTTCCCCATGAGTTTAGTCCGAATGACAGTCCATTTGAGTTTCTGTATCTTTGTGAATCTTAGGTTCTTTAAATATTTTGTACTATTCTGTATTTGTCCTCCAAAATCCATTCACTTCAATTCCAGAATACTTCATTAGATTTTCCTTTTCAAATTGGCAATGCCCTCTTCATTACATGCAGTTTATGTCTATATTTCCGGTGCATATGTTAGTACATGTCTTATAAGATTTTTATGGTAGTAATTTAATTCGAGAAAATTGAACCTGAGACATTTAACTTCTAAATCATTTTTCAAAAATAATTTAAAACTAAAAAAGTGTTAATAACTTTAGATTACAATGGGCTCTGTAATAAAATTATGCAGTACGGAAGCTGACTTAGCAAATTTTTGTGAGTATCTGCATAATTTTTTTTCCGTCTCAGATTTCTTTTTAAAAATTGTGGAGGAAAAAGAGACTGCTACAATTATCAGCTTAATAAAATATTTTGTATATTTGAGTACAAGAACCAGTTAATTTTGATTTCTAGTTGCTGATTTCTTAAGTATTGTTAAAACCAGAAATTCATTTGAAACTGTATCTCTATAAAACATAATGGTATAACAGAGTTTTCCATTGTTGTCGAGGATTTTTATTGTCGGGAAAATCATATGGTAAGATTCAGTTTTCCCACTTTAATTTCCATGCTTTTTTTAGTTGTTATCAGGATAAAATTAATAAAATGCATAAAGATATTGTTTTCCTATAAAATATTTTTGTATCCCTAATTTAAAGGTATTTGCCTGCAATATTTATTTTTCTTATTCTACTTTGCTATTGTTAGGTTTCATTATTGTTACTTCTATAATAAGTATTACCTTATTATGCTACATTTTCACCCAATCTTATTTAAATTTGTGTCTTCATTTTATAATTGTTATTTTTTGGTGCAAATTACATTAATATACCTTTAAAAATTACAGCTAAAGAGATTTCAGGGCTTGAAAAAACTCGGAAATTTTACCCGTCCCCGAGGACGGCTTGTCCAACAATGTACCCGTCCTGCTTTGAAACTAACCCGTAGCTTCTAAATAAATAAAAATATAATTTTCTCTTATTTATTACGAACATTTATATAAATTGCACAATGAATTAGTAGTTACTAGGATTACAAATGCTAAGATTGCATTATACAGTAATAAAAGAAATACTAGGTTACCAATAGTAACCTAGTAGTTCTTTTATGAAATAATTTATTTCTTTTATGAAATAATTTAAATGACAAAGATCAAGTTATCTGGAATGTCAATTTATCCAAGGGTACTACGTTTTTTAAATGAATCAAATATGACGTTTGCCAGTTCCACAATAAAGCCAATGATTTACAGAGGTTTCTGCACAGAAATCTGAAAGGGGTTTTCCATTTAGGTAGATGTTCATAATTGCCTTTAAAGCTTCTTGTTTAAGACAAGTACGTAATGTGCTTTTTTGTAAGTTCATTGCTGAAAAGCCCCTTTCAACCGCTGCAGTACTCCCAGACAGAGAAAACATCAATTCCAACATGCGCAGTATGTTGCTGTATTGTGGGTCATTTTTCTGCATTTGGTCTGACGAAGGAATTAACAGGATTTCTAGGTTATAGGGTCATTTTAAAAGTGAGGTGGTACACTAGACTCTTGTAAGATAAAAAAAATTGAAAATGTATCATGAACATTAACGGGAAAATGGCCGTCCGCGCGGACGTCATATTCGAGGAATTTATTGTCCGCGGGGAATTTTTCACCACCGAGGACGGGCGGTTTTTCGAGCCCTGAGAGATTTGTTAAATAATTAAGAACTTAATGATCAGCTTCATGTACCATGATGCATGTGCAAATTGTATTTAGTATATCTGCCTGTTTGGTAAGCCTAAATTATTGAATTACAGTTGTGCACTCACCAAATTTGTTATAACAGTATACATTTAATTTTAGTATAACAGTATACATTTAATGTTATAACAGTATTCATTTAATTTTAGATGTTATTTTAAAAAATGATTTTCTGAGCAAAATTATTTATCTTCACTAATAAATCATAAGAGAAATGCTCGAACGTCGGAAGTAGGGGGAACAAGAGCGCAAGCAAACGGAATTATTTTAGTACATTAACATTTATTTCAAGTGAATAATTTCAACTTTCATACAACAGGGTTGGTGAGCAGCAGCAAACTGTAGGCTTAGCTTCTAGTATGAGTATATTGCTTATTTGTATTAAATATTTGAATATGCAAATTTAGTTTATGTTACTGACTATATATTATCAATTGTAATCTATAACTAGTCAGCTTGGTATAGCTATTTAAGGGCTACTATTATAATCATGCAGATTGACACAGAAAATTCTAACTAGGTATGTAAGGATTTAAAAATAATTTTTTTAGGATTTTTTTTAAAACAATAATCAATATAATATTATTGTTATTGTATCTAAATAAAAAAATTCTACACTCAAGAAATCTATTTAAAATATTTTTTTTTTGTTTCACCTTTAAATCTTTTGATTTTGAATAATGTATCATGTAACAAAACAAATAATCCAAGTTTGATATGTATGTAAATTAAAACTTGGAATCTAATTTAAATTTAAAAAAAAATTTTTTTGATAGAAAATATGAATGAAGAGTTTTCTTATGCATAATAATGAAATAAAACAGCCTCAAATTATTATTTTTAATTTTGGATCTGAACAATATAAAAAACAAAACTTAATTTGAACTTAAAATATTTGGCATGGATCTTTTTTTCATATTTAATATTTAAGATACTTTATTTTTTTTTTTTATATTTTAACATATTCACCTCAAAAGATGATATTAAGATACGTCTTAAAATAAAATTTTAACTTTAATATTTTTAAAAATATTTTTTAAATTATAATAATTTAACAAAAAACATTGCATTGTTTCAAAAGTTTGAAAAACTTATTTTTATATGTTTTAATTTGTGTTAAATTATATCAGCTTCAAAGCACTCACTGAGTAAAAGGTTTTATCTATGCTTATTTCTATAAAAAAGAAAAGATTAAAAGGGTTAATTTATTTTATTAAATTATGATAATATAAAAACAATTAGTATAAGAGCTGGGCTGATTTTTATTGAATTTTCAAAATGATAATTTACTTTGTCTGATAATTAAAAAATGAATGCTTAACTACCTGTTAACTCTAAAAAAATAAAATGTTTTGTAAATAATGATGTTGTTTGTACATATTGGTATATATATGTGTATAAAGATTTGGGATTGACATTTTATTTTTTTAGATGTTCTCTCTAGTCAAATTTCTTTTTCATCCAAATATAAAAAAAAAGATCTTTTTATATGTACATACATTTTGTTATTTTAATTGGTCTGTAATGAAAATATAGTCAAAGTTTACATTTACAACTTGTTGTTTATCAATTCAATGTTCAAATTTATTGAATTTCATGAAGTGTCAAACATTTTATTTTCCTTAAAATCGTTAATGTTGTATTTCATCATTCATTTACATTAATTTTCCTAATTTTGAAAAAAAATTGGCATTGAGTCTTTTGTGACTTTTCGGTGATCACATATACTTTTGAGGATTGAATAAGGCGAACAAAAATTATCACTAAGTTTATCACATCATGCGAAATCAGTCAGAAACTAAGTTTGTTGCTTTTGCATGCCTCAGCAGCAACTACAGTTTTTTTTTNTTTTGCATTATTTGCTTGTAAAATATTCACACAACAGTTCAATTTTACCTTGGAAATGCTCCATGAATGTTTTTAAGCTCAACTGGGAATTTCGTTCTCACTGAACTATGACAAAGAAAAATGTTGGTTTGTGTCCCAAAATCACTACTGAATAATTATAAAGTATAATGCAAAAAATAAATATTACTAAGGTATATGCAAGATGCAAGCTATAGTACTTATGCATCTTATTTGTGTTAGATGTTCATGAAAAGTTTGGATGATAAATTTTGTTCACCCTGTTTTTCGTATTGGGGTTCATTCCCAAAAATCTAAAATTCGGGCATTGCTAAAAACTAACATCTTAAAAGAATATTTATTAGTTTTTTTGTATTTTTATGAGATCAAAATTATGTAAATGGTCATTTTTCAAAATCTTTGACATTTGCCTCTTGAAGTTTTTCTAAATGAGCATCAGATTCATAATCACATCACTTCTGTATCAGTACTTAGTTATTTACCTACTCTGATATTATTACTTGATAGCCTAAACCGTAAAAATTCTTGTCATCCTGTATTTGAGATTTTGCAGTTATTTTAAAGAAATCTGCTGAACAAAATTATGCAATTCTAATCTCATTAAAATCAGTTGTAGTTAAGATGAAATAAAATTTTGCTAACTATCACATTGCCCGAGAAGGTCTATGCTTTTGCATCTCTTAATTTTAGCTGTTGTGCTATGAATAGTTTTATGTTCGTTTTTGTAATGGAAATATAAAGTGTGAAGCATTCACCTAAAACTTATTTCTATACATAGTTGTTGGTTAAATTTGGACATTCTACTTCCTTTCTATAGTGGTAGCTTAGTTAATTTCAAATATGGATCCCTAAATTAATTTTTTTATTATAAACTAAACACAACCCTGGCAGCTTATGGCAAATTTACTGTCTTAATCATGACAGCTTTAAATAGAGTTTAATTCTCATTAAATTAGTATTAATTATTGATTTAAAGGGTATTTATTGCCAGAATTAAAATTTGAAACAAATCAAGAACTCCTGAATCAGAATATGGAGTTCTTGATTTGTCTAAAAATTTAATTTAGATATAGACATTATTAAGACACAGACTAAAAACCTTTTAGAATGGGGCTATGTACTTTGTAAATTTTAAAGCTTGCTTTTAATAATTAGTCTGAAAGTAAGTGTTTGTTAAGATATTATTTTTATAATCATCATTTCAGTTATCACCAGTGTTCATATTTAGTGATTATTATTTTTGATTTATTGCTTAGTATTTTGTTGGGGAAAATCAATATGCTATTTAAAGTTCAACGGTTGTAAAGTTAGCTGTCAGCCCATCTCTTTTACTTTGGTTATAAACATATGAAAAAGAGCACATTTTAACTTTAGTGTGTAAATGTTATTTTTATATTTTGATTTTCATTTCCAAGTGCGATGTTTAAGTTTCTTGGTTTATAATGAACTAGGACTTTTCTTGGATTGTAATTAATAGCTAACGAATTTTTCTTTCATCAATTGTCTTAATAGTATGTAATTTGTTTTAATTATGTAATAATAAATCTCATTATTTTTAAAAGCTTTTAAATCATAAAGGACTATTTCTTTTATCTATTATTTTAAGAAATATTTATTGTCGTGCCTTTTAATTTTTAAATGAAATGTGTGCTAAAACGTAAAATTTTCTTGCTGTTGTGTGTTTAAACCAATTAAACTGAAATAACCATGTTGCTGTATAATTCACATTATAAATGTGAATCACTGTCACTGTGTAAAATGATGTAATTCAAATGTATATGTTCCAAAATTTAACATCTTCATGATTTTTCTTTAAACACTTACTAAAATTATACATTTATATTTTAACCATTTTTCTGTTTTATGGAATATGAATTCTGCAAGAAGAAAAGAATCACCATTAAATGTTGATTTTTTAAATTAAAACTTGAAAATGGCAAAATGATTTTGATATATATTAAAAGTTTTTCAACATGTGATGCTATGCTAAGCATTAAGTTTATTTAATCAATTTATATTCTTTTAACTAAAGAAGTTTTAAATCATTTATTCATTTACTTTTCCTGTTGTGTTTAACTGGAAAGAAAAGTTGAGTAAATTTAGAATCAAGTTTATGTGTAATTTTCATTTTACTTTTTCATGCCAAGATGTGTTAATGCATAATATTTAGTGTGCCACATCTTTCACACAAGAGCTTTTTGTTACATAACTTACACCAAAAGAAAAGAAATCCGAGTGTTTATGTTCTTTGTTGAGGCATTATGTATATTTTAAAACCAAAGGTGATGGTAAAGTCATAGAGATTCAGGTATCAGTAGAATTATGTTGCACATTTACATAGTTATTTAGTCATTATTAATTTTATTTTAGATTTTCTTATTATTATCAGATTTTAGTCTTGAA